CATGTTACTATTAGTATACATCTTTATTTTATGTTTCTTTATTATTTTTTAAACTGTGTGGTTAACATGATTTGAAATAATTAAAATTATCTGCTTGCTCAATTAGAATGACTTTAAAGCAAGACATCACCCCTTATATAGTTTTTAGATTAAGTTATAAATGTTCACTTTAGAACTACCTGAAGATTGATAGAGATGCATTTGAAAAGCATTATTTTTTTTTATTGATTCTTAATGTAGTAAATTACTGAAGTTATTTGGCAGCAAACAGAAGTGGCCTGTGACGTGGTTCACATTTATTCTCCCGATAGAGCCTCAATTTGCATTAATTGCATTGCGACTGCACTCACTTATATTAAAAGGCTTCTACAGTAATTAATCCTTTTTATTTCAAATCATTTTGGCACAATTTCTAGCTATAAACACTCATAAAAGACAGACACTTGAAAAATACGTTTCAGGTTTTTACCATATACCTATTGCTATTTTCTTGTGACAAGTAGTTATTGATACGCTTCTAGGAAAATGTGTAGTACAGCTGGCCGAGAACGAAGGCCAGTGTGAAAAATGCTAAGTGGACTCTTTTGCATAAAAAATAGGCAGTTTTGAAGTTGTATAATTAACCTGTGTTTAGAAAATACCTTGATTTATGCTTACATCTGTATCTTGGTTGCATGCATTATGGAAATTTAACTTACAATCCATTTAGCTGATGCAGTCGTACTTTTTAGTGCCATCACTTATTAGTGCTTGTATATTAAATGCTTTAGACATTTAAACCTGCCTTATGTAAAAAATTATATCTATGCATTTACATTTTATGAGTCACAGTGGGATTTCTGTTTAAAATTCAGGTAGCTCTGATATATTTAACGAATTTCACTGGTCTATTGTTACTAATGCAGAAGTGGCAAACAATGACCTTATATATTGAACATCAAGTGATTTACACTTTCTGTTTACTTTTAAAGTCTGCTATACAAATGAGGACTTTTCTTCAGCACCTGGAATCGATCATGTAGTGTTACGCAGAGTGTTCTCCTTGGCTTTGAACTCGTCGTTCATGTAGAAGTCATGGTATCTGAGTGCCCCAGGCTGACGATACTAACCATTTCTTGAAGAGACTCTGTGTGTGATCAGTGATGACAAGAAAATTAATTGGGTAATCATTGGTTTTGAAATTAGTAGTAAAATCAGAGTGTTGTAACACCTCAGTTTACCTGGCCAAAAGCAGCCGTGGTCTTCCTGGAGGGTGTCGTGCTGTCTGAGGTCCCCACACAGGGAAGCCTTGGATAGAGCATTCTTCACAGTACATGTCAGTCATGTTCTCGACCAGGAAGCCTGTGGGGCGCCAGATGCTGACTTTTTTTTTTTTCCTTTTTGTCTTTTTTACTGACCAGTAATGGGATCGCAACCCTCGGTGTTGTGCCTGCACCGCGCTCAGCCAGTGAGCGGGAACCGGTCTCCACATGGGATCCGGTCTCCACATGGGATCCGAACCCTCGGCAGGAGAGCCGCAGCGCTCCCAAGCGGTGCACTTCTCCAGTGCGCCACCAGGCCGGCCCTGGATGCTGACTTTTGAGAATAGTTAACAGCTATTTTCTAGTCTCTTCCAGTCATATTAGTGGGCAGGCCTTTAAATTGCAGATCTCAGGGGGTATCTGAGCAAGCTTTGAGTGTGTGAGTTTTAGGGTTTGGGTAAGGAGTAGAGATTTTATAGACTATACGTATGAAATAGATGATTAAATACTGTAACTGTACTGGAAGCTAAAACTAAGCAAAGGATTCACTCTCTAGCTGAGCACTGGCGTGCAGAGAAAATATTTCTTGTTTGTTGGAAGATTATGCACAGTCCTGGCTCTCTGGAAACTTTTTACTCTCCTGTTAGTAATTCTCACAAATCTGTCTTATTAAACCCTCAGGGCTTACATGTAGTATAATGTGGTCCGGCAATGGCCACTTGGCTGGAACAGTGACCTCTGAGCTGATAGTTTCGTGGATGAATGTTATTGCCCTGCAGATAAAGTTTTGTTTTTATTTTCGTATTCCATGCATTGTACAATAGCACTTGAATCTTAAAACAGCAGGATAAAGAGGATCCAGGTGTATCACAGCATGTGTCTTACAGCACAGCTCATTGTAGTCATTTGTCAGGTAGGGCTAGTACCCCGTTTGTTCTCCCTCTGTCTGTCCGTCCTTCCTGGTGTCTCTCTGTCTCGGGCTAGGGTCCCAGTGCTACACCTCCAAACATAAGATTGATTCTTGGCCACCTCTGCTGAGGAGGACATCTTAATATAGAACTAGGCCTCAAGTTTTCCACTTACCAAGTGGGAGTACTCCCACCACTTCTTTGACCTGGGAAGACAGAGGAGAGAGAAATCTCTGCAGATTAGACATATTCTAACAGAAATGGCATTTGCAGAGGATATCCAGATTTCCTGTTGTCTTCAATAGGAATCATTCTTTTACCTTACGTTAAGAAGTTGCCCAGATAGAACAAATGGAAATGAGACAACCAGTACTTACCGTGTGTTTAGCATGGTGCCTGGCACATAGCACACATTCAAGAAATGGTAACTGTGATCGTTATTAGAAAACTTCTGACAAGAAAGATTTGTCGTGGCTTCCAAGTCAGCTGTCTGATGGAATAAAATACCGAGAATGTTTTTGAAATTTCACAACCGATTTCTGACTCCTTGTTGCATTTTAAAACCTTAGACCATTGGGATATTCATCATGCCACGTGAAACCCTGATGTTATGTTGGAAACCTTACATAACTTTACTTCCCACCTTCTTTTGCTGTGGAATCTCTGGAGATTAATATAGTAGTACTCACCAACACTTGATTTAATCCAGTACCTCTACTTGTCAGGGAAATGCAGTTAAAACCACAATGAGATGCCCATTGCACCAACCAGATGACTAAATTAAATAGGCTGATGGTACTAATGAGTGGTGAGGCTGTAGACAGGGTGGGAACCCTCCTACATTGTTAGTGGTAATGAAAACAGCTTGCACAGTGTCTAATACAGTTCAGCATGCCTTGTACCCCAGCACTTCCACTTAGCAGATCTGCACTTAAGTGGAGAGAATCAGCTGTTCGTAGCAGCTTCATTCATCATAGCCAAAGCCTGGAAGCAACTCAGATGTCCGTCATTAGATGAATAGGTAAAGATATTACACAGCATTGAATAAAAGAACAAACAGTAATAACATAGATGAATCTCAAAAACATGATGTTGAGAGAAGACGTATAAAAGAATTCATACCGTGTAATCCCATTCATGACGTTCTAGTCCTGGCAAAGCTTATCTATAGTGATGGCAGAATGGGGGTTAACGTGGGGAGAGGATATTGACTGAAGGGCATGCAGGAGCTTTCAGTGTGGGAGTGGTGTGTGTGGTTGTTACAGAAGTATCATCAAATGTAAAAATTCATCAAGCTGCACATGGAAGATGTGTACATTTTACTGTATGTTAATTATACTTTGATATAAATAAATGCAAAAGGGCCGGACCCGTGGCGCACTCAGGAGAGTGCGGCACTTGGGAGCGCAGTGGCGCTCCCGCCTCGGGTTCGGATCCTATATAGGGATGGCCGGTGTGCTCACTGGCTGAGCGCAGTGCAGGCGACACCAAGCCAAGGGTTGCGATCCCCTTACCAGTCACAAAAAAGACAAATAAGTAAATAAATAAATAAATGCAAAAAAAAATATGCATTTAAGTCCTTAGTTATAAAGGTAGACAGTAACTTACAGGAAAAGCATCAGTAACATTTGTGGACATGTGAAAGTTACATGAACTCCAGATTTAGAGCACAGCCACCCTCACTTGTTTACACTTTTTCTGTGGCCACTTTTGTGCTACAAAGGCAGAGTGGAGTAATTGTGACAGATGGTCTGGCCTGCTTGGTGATTGAACTGTGACCCCCCAAATGCTATGTTTAAGTCCTAACACCCCATACCTGTGAACATGGCCTCATTTGGAAATAGGGTCTTTGCAGATGTAATCAAATCAAGATGAGGTCACACTGGATTAGAGTGGGTATCAAAATCCAATGACCAGTGTCTTTATAAGAGAAAGGAGAAGAGATTCAGATGCAGAACACACACACACACACAAGGAAGACAGTCATGTGGAGAGGCAGAAACTGGAGGGATACAGCTACAAGCCAAGGAACACAGAGGCTCACCAGGAGGTGGAAGAGACATGGAGGGACCCTCCCCAGAGCCTTGGGAGAGAGAATGGCCCTGCCAGCACCTGGCCAGTGGACTGTGAGACAATAACTTGTGGTGTTTTAAGTTTCCCAGTTTGTGATAATTTGTTACAGCAGCCTCAGGGAACTAATGCACCTGAAAAACCTAAAATGTTTACTACTTGGCTCTTTACAGAAAACATTTGCCAGCCTCTGTTTCACATGGAGGATTTGGCTCTTAAAAGTCCTATTTGGGGGCCGGCCCGGTGGCGCACTGGATAGTGCGCCGCTTGGGAAGCGCGGCGGCGCTCCCGCCCGAGGGTTCGGATCCCACATACAGACCGGTTCCCGCTCACTGGCTGAGCGAGGCGCGGGAGCGACACCGAGGGTTGCGATCCCGTTGCCGGTCCCCGGTCCGGTACGGGGGCAACACTGAGGGTTGCGATCCATTGCCGGACACGGAAAAAGACAAAAGACAACACCGAGGGTTGCAATCCCGTTGCCGGTCCCCGGTCCGGTACGGGGGCAACACTGAGGGTTGCGATCCATTGCCGGACACGGAAAAAGACAAAAGACAAAAAAAAAAAAAAAAGTCCTATTTGATACTAACACTCTACAATTTCAGCCCTAAATTATCTGTCGTAGAGTTGTTGACATGCTGAATGCTTTACTCTGTGGCCTGGCACATGGTGAGTGCTCCCTGAACGTTAGCTTCCACCATTCTCACAGTGCATTGTAGAGAAAAGTCTCTACTCTCTTAGGCTCTGTTCAGTGACCACCATTGTTCCCTGTTCTCGTTTGAAGGCTCTCTACGAAAACATGCTGGTGGAGCTGCCCTTCGCTGGCTTCTTCCTTTCTAAGTTGCTTGGGACGAGTGCAGATGTGGACATGCATCACCTAGCCTCCCTAGATCCTGAAGTGTATAGGAATTTGCTGTTTCTCAAGAGCTATGAAGATGATGTGGAGGAACTTGGGTTGAACTTCACCGTGGTGAACAATGACCTGGGAGAGGCACAGGTAAGGAGAACGTCCTGGCACCAGTTCATGTGGTTCCCAGTTTTATTCACGTCAGTGAAGAAGGTGAATTTCCGTAGATCTATAACAGGTGGTAGTATTTCCTTTTGTGTGAAAGTATGTTTTACATTGTTTGGGTTCTTATACATTTTAGTTAGAAGAATTACTGAGCCTGAGAGTTAGTAATCAGTTTCTGAGCACAGTTCTCAGCTCTTTCTCAGTGAGAACCTGTGAATGTTCTCATGGCCGTAATTAAGCCTTGTTTCTTGTCTCATTCTTGGTGCTGGAGAGTAGCCAGTTGGCAACTTCCTGACAAGAACCTGTGGGGTTAGCTAACTAGTCCTCATTCCTCACCCATTCAAAGCCACCTCTGGCTGCTCCACCACTGGTACCTGGGATGTTTTCTGACCTTCATAATACATCTGGTTGCTCTTTTTTGTTGTTGTTTTTGTTTTTTAAGAAAGGCCTATATTAATAAGTGGAATTCACATACTATAAAATCCACCCTTTGAGAGTATACAGTTCAGTAGTTCTTAGTACAGTTTGTAGAGTTGTGCAATCATCACAACCAGTTTTAGAACATTTTCACTACCCCAGGAAGAACCTGTATGCCCTTTAGCAGGTCACTCCCCACCCCCAGACTAGGCAGCCATGAATCTGCTTTCAGTCTCTGCATTTGCCTGTTCTGAATATTTCGTTGCAACAGTTCTTTTATGTGGTCTTATGTGTCTGGCTCCCTTCACTTCTTGCGTGTGTCAGGACTTCTTTCCTTTCTCTGGCTGAATGCTATGCCACTGCATCGGTACACTGCATTTTCTTCATCAGTTGGCATACATTTGGGTTGTTTCCACTTCTGGGCTGTTATGAATAATACTGCTGTAAACATTCATGTACAGTATTTATAGATGAATTGATAACATCTGGGCTTTGCTGCAGATATTATGAGAACAGGGGCAGTAGATGGAGATGTGCGTGACCTAGAATGCTGCTGGACATGAGATAACACTTGCTGGAGCTGGTGGTGGGGACTTGGGGGTTTATCATACTGTTCTGTCTACTTTAACATATGTCCAAATGTTCCATAATTTGCAAAACTTTTAAAAATGTAATACAGCCACTCTCAAATTTTTTAAGGATTAAATGGAAGGGTTACCACCTAGAACTTTGAAGTCATATTGTCCAAATCTCGCATTTTTTTAGATTTTTTAATCTAAAACCTGTGCTTTTCTAACCTTATGCTATTTGGTTTTCAGGCTAATAATATTTCATGTATGGGAAAGAGACATCTTTTCTGCTATGCTTATGTAGAGTGATAATCTTTTCTGAATCTAATAGCTGGATTTTTACTATAAAAATATTATTGTCCTTAAACTTTGCAGTTGTTTCTCTAAATTTATATTGTTATTTGGTGTCTAATCCAGGTTTTCAAAGATATCAGCTTTACCTATGCTTTTTTTTTTTTTTTAAAGATGACCGGTAAGGGGCTCTTAACCCTTGACTTGGTGCTGTCAGCACCACGCTCAGCCAGTGAGCGAACCGGCCATCCCTATATGGGATCCGAACCTGGGGCCTTGGTGTTATCAACACCACACTCTCCCGAGTGAGCCACGGGCCGGCCCAGCTTTACCTATGTTAAAAAATAACTGCATATTAAATAATTGTATACTTTAGTGTTCAGTCAAATCACCATTGAAAATACGTTGACCCAGAGGATACTCCTTAACTTAAACCCCCAGGTTTATTGCATATTGAGCAAGTTTAGATTAATGCAATTTTATTTTTATATCATGTGACCTCCTTGCCACCATGCCTGTTCTTTATTTCTTCATTCATTCATAAGACATGCATGACACTCTGTGTACCAGTCATTATGCTGTGCATAGGAGGGTTTTTTGTTTGTTTGTTTTTTAATTATAAGATAATACATTTTCTAGTAAGAGGCAGATAGATTTGTAAGCAGTGTGATCTGTGCAGTATAGGGTATGCATAGTTTAGTAGCAGTTCAAAAGAACTGCTGCCTGGAAGAGATCCTTGGTGGATGTTGAGGAGTTCACCTAGCAGCTGATGTCCCAGTGGCTGATGGTTAGAGTGCATATAGGGGAGCAGGTGGGTAGGAGTTGGGTCAAACCCTGCCGGGAAGTCTGGACTCTAGAAAGGCTAACCATGGTTTCAGAAACAGAGCCCGTGTTTCGTTTCATAGCTGATATTGGGTATTTATTTCAGTATGTCAGTGTAAGATGTCCTAAAACAGGTGCATTTCATAGCTGATAGGAAAATAAGTAATAACAAAATATTTGAAGCTGAGGTTTTGATTCATGAGTCAGGGCAGGACCTGGAAACTGTCAGGGTGTGTTCTGAGTCAGGAGGCTCCAGAATTCACTGAGAAACCATGTCTGGGGGCTAAGCAATTAGAAAGATGTTTAATGAGAGGATTCCTACTGTAGTCTTCATGTTTTAAAATTACATTCTATAGATTAGTATACTGAACTCAGTAGATTTTGATTGGTAGGACATTCTTATACTAAGCTCCTCAGTCTTTCCCCCAGCTCTGGGCACCCACCATCCTGCTTTCTGTCTCTATGAATGTGACTACTTTACTATAAGTGGAATAACACGGTATTGTCCTTTTGTGCCTGGCTTACTTCACTGTGTGTAATGTCCTTAAGGTTCATCCATGTTGTAGCAGGTGTCATAATTTCCTTCCTTTATGAGGCTGATTAACATTCCATTGTATGGATGGACTACATTTTGCTTAGCCATTTGTCCCTTGATGGACACTTGGGTTGCTTCCACCTTTTGTTTATCATGAATACTGCCATGAACACTGATGTACAAATCTTTTTGACAGCCTGCTTCATTTTCTTTTGAGTGTATACTTGGAAGTGGAATTGCTGGGTCACATGGCAGTTCTGCGTAAACATATGTAAACTGTTTGAGGAACCAACAAACCGTTTCCCACAGTGACTACCATTTTACATTCCCACTGGCTGTGCACAAATGTTGGGATTTCTCCACGTCCTCCCCAATGCTTGTTATTCCCTCCCTCCTTCTCTCCTTCATTTCTTCCCTCCTCCTTTTTCTCCCTCCCTCCCTCCTTCTTTCCTCTGTTTCTTTCTCTCTCCCTTTCTTTCTCAGTCTTCAAAAACTAAAATAAAAAAGTGTACACAGAGACTTATGCATTACAGTGTCTAAACTTTCTGGATATTATTTTTAAATGACTGTCTTTTAGGAACTTGAATTATCAGTCTGCTTCTTAGCCTTAAATCCACCTAATTCAGAAATAGGTTCAGATTAAATCCCTGGTTGGTGTAAAGGAAATAACACCTCAGGCTTGCTGCTTCCTCCTGCTGGGTCATCTTTAGGCATTCCTGAGAACTGACACCAGTAGTGTCAAAATAGAGTGAGAGATACAGACACGTTTTATGTGGCTGCAGTTTATTTAGTTGCTTTTGTTTCAGCCTCTTCCATATCATAGAGCTGAAGTTTCAACGATGCAAAATTCAGATGTCTTTTGGAAGGTGAGGTTTGTTACTGCTGTAAGCAAGAGTTCCGCACACGTGTAGTGATGTTGCTTGCTCCTGTTGCCTTGCACCACCTAGTGGCCTGGCTTTTAAGTACAACAAAAGTGTTGAGTGACCTGTCTAAGGCTTTTGCTAATGGGAGGATTTCCCGTTTCTCCTTCTGAAACAGATGGTGATGGAGAGCTGCCGCGTGTGTGGGAACTCCATCCGAGCCCCACTGATAGTATTGGGATATGGTGAAAGCAAGGTGTGAAGTTAAGACATTCCCATTATTCATAAATACTCCCACTAAGTTAAGAAATTATAGATGATGAGGCATAAGAATAATTATACTGAAGAGTCTAATTAGAAAGTTAAATTCAGGGCCGGCCCGGTGGCGCACTGCTGTAGTGCGCTGCTTGGGAAGCGCGGTGGCGCTCCCGCCGAGGGTTCGGATCCCACATGCAGACCAGCCGCTCACTGGCTGAGCGAGGGGCAGGAGCAGCACCGAGGGTTGCGATCCCGTTGCTGGTCGCAGTCCGGTACGGGGGCGACACTGAGGGTTGCAATCCGTTGCCGGGCACGAAAAAAGACAAAAAGGAAAAAAAAAAAAAAAGAAAGTTAAATTCACTGGTAAAGCACCTTATGTAGAAGGAGAACTTACAGGTTTCTGTAGAAATAGATATAAATAGGTGGTCCTCTATACAAGTTTAAGTTTATAAATATAATGATTTAAAGATCTGTGATATGCAAATACTTCATTATGTTGGCAGATTGTTAATTAATCTTCCCTTTTAAATAATGGTGCTGCTCTCAATTTTGTCTTCTTCAGTATAATCAATATGGCTATCTGTTAGTCCGTTTAATAATGAACATGAAATTTGAGACTACTAATATACACACACATCTTCCTTGAGAAAAACGCTAAGGATTTAGAAAGGAATATATAATAATCCTCTGTTAGGTGGGAAGGATAGAGCTTGAGTTATGAGACCTTGGTTCATGTCGCAGTTCACTCCTTTGCTCTGTGGCCTTAGGCAAGTCACAGGACCCCTTCCTCATCTCAGAAGGATCAAGTTGCTAGAGGATTAAATGAGCTGATGTAAGTAGGTCATGTAAAGTGGTATCGTGTGGGGCCTTGTGGATTCTACCTGCTGTAAAAGTAGACCTGCAGGTGTGGCAGAGAGGACAGCTCTTGCTGTGAGAACTGCTCTGGTTCTATACTTAAAGCAGATTTTACATGCGCCCCTCAAGCATGAAGTTTTAGTACACAGCTGACATGATTCTTAAATATATATAGTTGCTTAGGTTTAACCTGAGAGAGAATTTTAAGGTAGAGGTAGTGTGACCATTTTTAAGGTATTAGAAATGTCAGTTTTGCCTGATTAGGTGTGGTAATTGGTAGGCTTTGGAAGTTCCTTTAAATAAATTCATCGGTCCTTTGTCTTCCAAATCACACAAGTACCTCATCATTTATTACCTGCCTTTAATCCATTTAAAGGAAGGGTGTGGTGTTTTATATATTGAAATATAACAGCCAGCCTCATGAGGTTTGGTTAACAGATGGACTGTCAGCTGAGTACAAGCAAAGGAATTAAGGTAATGAACACAATCTTCCATCAGAATGAAGACAATGGATTCGAAAGCCTGTTCTCAGACTTGATGGTTTGAAAACTAAGAAAGTGAATTAGTAAGATTAATTGGATTGTCGTTTAAAATGTGCGATAACTGAAAGAAGGAAATCTGACAAATTTAACACTCAAGTTTAAAGCTACATAACTTTTATAAAGTGAAAACCAGTAAACTCTACTCTGTCTTTTTACCATAAGATATAGGAAGATTTAAGGAAAAACTCTTCCGCAGATTTTAAAATAGACTTTCTGTCAAGTGGTTAAAAAATTGGAGTATAAATGCCATTGCCCAGAGGCAGTCACATTGTCTTTGTTATTACAGGAATATAAAACTACCGAGACAACCAAAAGCTATGGAAAGAAAATCATGGGTGGGAGGGGCGGTTATTAATAGTTTTTCCATAATCTACAATCTAAGTATCTCTATCTTTACCCCAAAAGTCTGCTGTCTACTTAGCAGGCACATTAAGCCTGTTGTTTACTGTTTCTTGGGCTCACCAGCAGAGATCGCCCTGAAATGTCTTTGTTCATCTATTTTATATTTTCCTTGTCCATGTCATAGACTACCCTCATCTAACTCCAGGAGTACAGTTCTTTTTTTAAGTACTAGTAAACAAGGAAATAAGTATACTCTGGTGTGCTTGTATGTTTATAACTGTCTATGGTGTTTTGTCAATAAACTTTGCATATATGAGTTCACATAATCACAGTTCCAAGAGAGACAAAACAGCACCATTTCATTAATGACAGAAGTAGTTCATGGAACAAAACACTTTTTCTTTGACCACACTTTTTTTTGTTGTTGTTGGCTGGCTGGTACAGGGATCCAAACCCTTGACCCCATTGGTGTTATGACATCATGATCTGATCAGCTGAGCTCACTGAGCCCCTGTGGCCACACTTGACAGTGAGGGAGAGGGAACTAAAATTTAGGTCTAAGCATTTCTACCATGGCGCTTTTCTCTCTAATACTCTAGAGATGCTTACAGGAATATTTTCTGACCTCTATACTAGACATACAAATTCTGTGAGTGTAACTATTTACTGATAAAAAATTGTTCTTGTTAACTGTGTTTATATACATAGAAATTGGCTGGTCAGTTATCTCTAATTATTACCCTATCCTTTAAATCATAATTAAAGTGCTTTACAGTAGTAATAACATGGAAATACAAGGATAATTATATGCTGCTTTATATGTACAAATAACAGTCATCAGTTTACTACAGCCTTATTTCCTTAAGTTGTGTTTTCTCCAAAATGAATCCTTTTGTTCTCTTCTAACTTGTGTTGTTAATTTCATTCATATCTTTGCCCTTTGCGATTTCTGACTTTTTAAAATGGAATTGCCATGATTACATTGCCACACAACTCCTTAGTGTACTGTACGTTGGTGAAAGCAAGGATGGTTAATGATCTTAAACACAGAATAAGATGCCAACCTTCAGAGAATCTCCTCGGAGGTCCACCTCTGAATTTACGTACTGTGTGTGTGTGTGCGTGTGCACGCGCGTGTGTGTGTGTACGTACACGTACTAGTTTGTGCTGTTTCGTATTTAGATTCTTGTTCACAACACAAGTTATATTTCCTTGAAACATTTGTTTCTCACATTTTTAATGTGTCGTCATATTTTGAGAATTGTGGGGTCCTTATGTTTTATACTCACAGGTAGTAGAACTAAAATTTGGTGGGAAAGATATCCCTGTCACCAGTGCCAATCGAATCGCATATATCCACCTGGTGGCCGACTATAGACTGAACAAGCAGATCCGCCCACACTGCCTGGCTTTCAGACAGGGCCTGGCCAATGTCGTCAACCTCGAGTGGCTCCGAATGTTTGATCAGCAGGAAATTCAGGTAGATACTTGCTCACTCTCGGGGGCACAGTTGTCTCAGGAAATGAAAAGCCTTTCTTAAAATCTACCTCAAATTTTATTTTGAACTTTTTTTTTTCCAGGTATTAATTTCTGGTGCACAAGTTCCCATCAGCCTAGAGGACCTAAAATCTTTTACAAACTATTCAGGTGTGTTTTCACTACTAGTTGTTTTTCCTGAAAATGTTACTGGTAACCCTATTTCCAAAATAATTTTTAATATAATTTTTTCGTATAGGTAATTTATGTGATTCGAAAACCAGAATGTGTAGTAAGGTGTGCAGTGAGTCTTCCTGTTCTTATCCCCATCTGTCCTGTTCTGCCTGCCCTTCCCTGCCATGAGTTACCACTGTTCCTAGTGTCTTTATGTATTTACAGACATACACAAATTTAATTCTTATTTTTCTTATGTTCACACACTTCTGCATCCTGTGGTTTTTTTCTTGACAATGTGTCTTTGTAAGTCTCTACTTAAAGGCATTTGATTACGTCTTATCTTTTGCCTTTAAAAACAGTGCTAGCCTACCTTCCCCCAACAAACTCACTGATAATAAAAGAAAAAACTGAAAAGTTGGACCTCATAGAAAATTTTACTTTTTGATTTAATTAAACTTAAAACTTTTGGCTCTTCAAGAAAATGAAAAAGCAAGGCACAGATGGGGCAGAAATATTCAGAATGCATATATTTGACAAAGAATGTATATCGACAGTGCATAAAAAACTCTCTAAATGCAATAAAAAGGGGAGGGAAGGCCCAGATACAAAAATGGGCAAAAGTCTTAACCACTTCCAAAAAGAAGCTATACAAATGGCCAGTGAGCACACAGAAAGATGCTCAACAACATTAGTCATCAGAGCAATAAAAAATTACAGTGAGAATGAGATTGTTCTTAGTAGGACTTGGTGTCTTTTGGGTATTTGTAGGGTTTTTTGTTTTTTTAAAATTCATTATATGTACTTGGGAAGAGTGAAAAAAAAAAAAAAAAAGGAAGAAAATCACCCTTAATTCCAGTATTCTAAAACAACTACTGCTGTGTTGAAGTGTTTTCTTTATATTCTGTTATTCTGGTATTTTCATATGGTTTATGGTTATATATAATTTATAAGGTATATTCTGGTTAGAGCTTAGATATATCATAACTAACCTTTCACTGTAAAGAACTACTGTGTGTGTTTCTGTGTGTAAAGTCTTTATATATATATATGCTAGAAGCCCAGAAGCTAAAATACTTTTTAAAGGACATAAACATTTTGGGGAGTGAAATCACAGGGGGAAAAAAAAAGTATTGATAAAGAATCAGCATAAATCGTTGAACATAGATTGGGATACATTTTATTTGTTCAACCTTTCTCATCCATAGAAAACTCTACAGAATTTTAAATATGTATGTATAAAAATGATTTGAAATTGGGAGCCATTAATTCCTATTTTTATTATGTGCATTTTAAAGTATTTTATCTCTCAGGAAATTTAAAATACAGTCTTAAATAAAGCAGGTTATGAAGCAGTATGTGTCATATGGTTCCACATCTATGAAAATAAAATTGAGTAAGATATAAGCAAAAATGTTAAGAGGCCATGAGATTATAAGTTATTTTACATTTTCAAAATGTTGTTTCCCCTTCTTTATATATTATGCATTTTATATAATTTACTTTTAAAACCAAGAAAACTTTAATGCCATTTGAGTTTTATAAAATGGTAATGATTATTTATAGTTAATGAAATTACAAGTGATTTTTCTTCATTGTACTTTTCTCTTTTTTCTAAATATTTTGAAATGAGTATATAGTTCTCTTAAAATACTTTTTTTTCTTTTTTGGTGGCTGGCTGGTGTGGGGATTTGAACCCTTGACCATGGTGTTATAATAATGTACTCTAACCAACTGAGCTAACCAGCCAGCCCTAAAATAATTTTTAAACCATAAAAACATCCTGAGCAGGACGGCCAGCTATGACTGAATGATCAACAAATTCTCTCCTCAAAGGTTAGTAGTGGCTTTTTATCAAAGATAGAAAAAAATGACAAAAGAAAATTATGGATTAATATTCCCTTATGAACATAGATGCAAAAATCCTGAACAAAATACTAGCAAAATGAATCCAGCAGCATATAAAAATGATTTTATTTTATTTATTTATTTTTTATACCTCTTTGTTTTACATAAAAATGATTTTAAACCAAGTGGTATTTATCTAGAAAATGCAAGGTTAATTTGACATCTAAAAATCTATTAGTGTAATATACTGTATTGATGGTACAAAGGACAAAACTCAACATGATCATCTCAATAGATTGGTGTGAGGGGAAGCACTTGAAGCTTTTGAGCATCTAAGCATCTCATATCTATTCAGGATAAAAACTCTCAAGAAACTAGGATTAGAGGGAACATCTTTAACCTGATGAAGGACATCTACAAAAAACTCACAGTAACATCACACTGAATGGCGAGTCCTGAATGCTGTCCACGTAAGGCACATGTTGGCTTTCACCATTTCCGTTCAACTTTGTACTGGGGTTTCTAGCTAAACCCCAATCAATCAATAAGAAGTAGAATAAGAAATGGAAAAGAAGTAAAACTGTCTTTTTTTCACAGATGATATGACAAAAAGATACTAGAATTAATAGGTTTATCAGGGTGGCAGTATAGACTAATATACAGAAATCAGTTGTATTTCTGTATACAATCCAAGAATGAAATTAAACTACCCTATTCATCATAGTATCAAAAAGATAAAATAGAAATAAATTTAGCAAAGTGAGTACAAGACTTGTACACTGAAAACTGCAAAACATTGCTGAAGGAAATTAAAGAGGACCTAAATAAATGGAGAGATTATCCACTTTCATGAATTGGGAGATTCAGTATTGTCAAAATGGTAGTATTCTCGGGCCGGCCCGGTGGCGCACTGCGCTAGTGCGCCGCTTGGGAAGCGCGGCTGCGCTCCCGCCGAGGGTTCGGATCCCACATACAGACCGGTTCCCGCTCACTGGCTGAGCGAGGCGTGGGGGCAACACCGAGGGTTGCGATCCCGTTGCCGGTCCCGGTCCGGTACGGGGGCGACACTGAGGGTTGCGATCCGTTGCCGGACACGGAAAAAAAGACAAAAAAAAAAAGGTGTATTCTCTAAATTGACCAGAGTCAATTTAGTCCTTGCCAGAATCCCAGCAAGGATTTTTATTGAAGTTGACAAAGTTGATTTTAAAATGTATTGTGGAACATAAAGGATATAGAATAACTAAAACAGTTTTGTAGAACAAAGTTGAAGGACTTACACTCTTAAAACTTACTGTAAGGCCACAGTAATTAGGACAGCGTGGTACTGGCATAAGAATAGGCATATTGATCAGTGGAACATAATTTTGAGTTCACAAACAAATCTGTATATTTGTGGTCATCTGGTTTTCAGCAGAGGTCCCAAGACAATTCAGTGGTGCTGGAATAATGTCCACATGAGAGAGAATGAACCCTTCACACCGTACGTAAAAATTAACTTGAAATGGATCAGAGCCTTGTAGGTAAGAGCTAAAACTGTAAAACTTCTAAAAGAACATACAGGAGAAAATCTTAATGACTTTGGATTAGTCAGAGAGTTTGTAGTTATGACATAAAAAACATGATCCAGAAAAAAGAAATTGATAAATTTGACTTTCTCAGAATTAAAAGCTTTTGTGCTTCAAAGGATACCATTAAGCAAATGAAAGCACAAACCATGGATTGGGAGAAAATGTTTTCAAGTCAAATATCTGGTAAGGGACTTATGTGCACCATATACAAAGAGTGCTTACAACTCAGTAATAAGAGAGCCCAATTAGGCAATGAGGGCAAAAAGTCATTTCACTTAAGAAGGTAAACAGGCTGACCAGTGAGCTCAGCTGGTCAGAGCATGGTGTTACCACACCAAGGTCAAGGGTTCAGGTCCCCATACCGGACTGCCACCAAAATAAAAAAAGGAGCGGAGGATATATAAATGGCCACTAAGGACATCAAGAGATGTTTCACACAGTCAATCATTAGGGAAATGCAGATTAAATATGTATGAGTTATCACTGCCCACCTACTGGAATGGCTGTCATCAGCAAAGTCAGCCCCAAGTGTTCGCAACACGTGGAGAAATCAGAACCCTCTTGAATGGTGGGTAGGTAAAATGGTAAAGCCTCTTCAGAAAAATTTCCAGTTATTTAAAAGTTGAGTGTAGTACAAGTGGATTTTTGCAAAATAATGAAGCCATACCCCATCTCACACCATATACAAAAATAAGTCAGAATGATCAACCTTAATGTAAGACGTAAAACCATAAAACATGTAGGAGAAAACGGGTAAGTCTTCCTGACCGTGGATTTGGCAATGGATGGTCAAGTATGGCAGCAAAAGCGTAAGCAACAAAAGAAAAAATAGATACACTGGACTTCATCAAACTTAAAAATGTGCTTCACAGGACACTGTTGAGGGCCGGCTGGTGGCTCACTCGGGAGAATGCGGTGCTGATAATACCAAGGCCATGGGTTCGGATCCCATATAGGGATGGCCGGTTCGCTCACTGGGTGAGCGTGGTGCTGACAACACCAAGTCAAGGGTTAAGATCCCCTTACCGGTCATCTTTTAAAAAAAAAAAAAAAGGACACTTAAGAACGAAAAGATGTTTTAGTCTGTTTACTGTTGCTATAACAGAATAGCTGAGACTGGGTGATTTATAAAGGAAAGAGGTTTATTTAGCTTATGATTCTGGAGGCTGGGAGGCTCAAGGTCTGGTTGGCTTCCAGTGATGGCCTCGTTCTGTGTCTTGACACAGCAGAGAAGCACTGGGAGCACGAGACTGAACACAAGAGGCAGCCCACTTTATAGCAACCCACTCTCACTCTTAGGTAACTCATCCAGCCCTTTGAGAGCAAGAACTCCCTCCCACAAGAAAGGCATTAATCCCTTTAACGACCTGATCACTTCTTAAAGGCACCACCTCCCAGCACTGCTACACTGGCAAATTTCAGCGTGAGTTTTGGCAATCACAAAACCAAATCGAAACCATGGCCAAAGGCAACCTACAGAATGAGAAAAAATATTTGCAAATCATGTATTTGATAAGGTTCTAGTACCCAGAATATATAAAGAACTCTTAAAACTAACAATAAAAAGACAACATGATGCAG